TTGACCTCAGGATTTCAGGCCAATCTGAGGAAGCGTCACCTTAAAGACAAACATTATGGGTTTAATGATCTTATAATGTTCACAAAAATGACTTTTCTATTCTAGGCTGCATAAAAAAACGAAAAAAAAAAATTGACCCCACTAAAAGATGAAAACCCATGTAAGCTTAACGAGTTCGAATTCTATTGCAACACTGTGTTATTTTTGTTTTGTTCCATACATACATATATACATACATAAACTTTATTGAAGTTTCAAGGTATTTAGCTAAAAGCTAATTGTGGACACTATAAATAAATAACCTGAGTATAATATAAGATTAAATGAGTATATTTAACAATTATTCCCCTCGCACTTGTTGGGTATGAAATGATAGATAGCCAACGAGGCGTGTAGCGCCGAGTTGGCTTTAGTCATCTCTTATCCAACAAGCGCGAGTGGAATAATTGTTTTATTAAAAACGCCCCCAAGATATTCGACAGAATCTTATGAACTTTATTTTGTAAGTAGAAACCGAATGTTACAATGTACAGATAATTTCCGGTTTAACTCATTTCATGACATGTCACATGTCTATCAAAAACTGTCAAATCCTGCATGCGTTGTTCTGAATGAATTATAAAACGCGACGATCATATCACGTCAAGTTTGTCAAATTTACACTGTTTGAATGAGAGAGAAAATTTTTCTCTTGATGTTTACAAGACACAATCTAACCCACTTCAACTGCTTGCGCTAAAATTATTGTGAATTCGCACATTGGTGCAGTGGTAAAAGTTAAACTGAGGAGGAAAACGATGCAGCCTTTGCTCGCCATGTGCGAAGTTTCCCATGTTGTTGGAAACCGCCACTTGATTATACTGGAGAAAAACAGATGCTGGGAATGCTTGAGTTGCCATGGTGGATGGGCTTGTATTCAGCTGCCGTTCTGCTTTATTCTCTTTGTCAGCTGAAGTGGCTTCATGGCCATGAAGCAAGGAACTGAGTGCTTCAGACACCTTCTTCGGCTGGTCGAGGGAAGGTCGATCGTTGTAGCTTTCGATCGAATTGTCGGATTTGTGGCCAGTGACTGATTTAATGTGCCTCGTTTCGCAGTTTTTGTCAGAAAGGACGGTCACTGAAGTTGCTCTGAGGCAATGATTCTTGAGGTGGGGATGGATTCCTGCTCGAGAGCTCATTAGTTTTAACATCGAATCAACAATGTTCACTCCAAGCGGCGAATTGCAGTACCACACTTCATCCTCGCTAGGTTTAAAGCTTCTTCCTTCTCGTGGACGCTGGAAAAGGCAATCCAACTTAGGATTCAAATGGGACAAGTATTCTTTTATAGTTTTCACCGGGCATTTGGCAGATTCTGGCGCAGCAGAAGGTAGAACCATGCTGTTCTTTGATGCTGTGCTGGATCTTTGGTGTCCGCCGGACCAAGTTCAACGCTTTGAAAGAGTTTCTCAACTTGCTGTTTCGAGATGGCCTTTTTCTGCACAACACCACTAATTTTGCCTGACTTTCTTAGATTCTTGACAAATGCGTCTAATATTTTGTTTGCTTCAGTGAAAGCAGGGTCGGCAACAATAGAAAACTGTTTGGAGTGTGGAGGCATGCGAAGATACCTGTCAAGGGCGCCACGATTTGCCGTCAAGGAAGATGACTTGTAAAACTGACCGTCTTGTTTTCTTGCGGATGTATAAAAACTTTTTAAGCAGGCATTAAGTTCTTCTTTATTCATTTCCTCGATTGGTGTAAGACAGAATTTGCTCTCGAGGATCAAAAGCCAGTCTGAAAAAGTTAGTGAAATGTAACAAATTAACTTGATTAATTTGTAAATTGTCTCAACTTGCATTGTTTTGCTTTGACTAACATGGATGCCTAAGTTGTCAAAATAAAGTTTTCAAGTTTTTACCTTGAAATATTTTCATGTCATACTTTGTGGCTTTCTTTGTGCTCCCTTGTGTTGCGTTTTCTAATAGTTGAATGACTTCCTTTTCATTCAACTGTGGTGCGAAGCGATTTTCGCCGGCCGCCATTTTTTCTTGAGGGAAAATTTTTTAGCTCCCTTTTAATTTTTGAGTTGACGCGTACGCTTACCATATTTGTAGATTATGGTATATTGGATGATATATCATAATGGCTAAGCCAATAAAAAGTCTTGAATTGCATTCTCTAATGATCAAGTTTTTAATAAGTAAATGTATTAAGGATATATTCTCCAAATATCATTAATATATATAAAAAGTATCAATACATAAAATTGTTACAAACAATTCCCCATGTTCTAAACGAGTTGGGGATTGGGTCCGAATTGGGACCGCAAAGCATCTATGGATTGTTTGAAGGGACAGATTTTCCAAATCAATATGGCTGAAAGCGAGAGCAAAGCCAAACTAACTGTTAAACTAACTCAGGAAGATATTCCTGGGGCAAAACTTCCAAGGGATTCTGTTGAAAAATGTAGCGTTGTCCAGTTGAAGAGGTGGCTGCTTTGCAGAGGTGCAAAAACGACGGGAACAAAGAAAGCTTTAGTGTCGAGGTTCGTATCGAAGCTGGCAACTTTTAAACTAAGAACCTTTACACGCAATAAGTTATTTTTATTTATAACAACTTTATTTGTAATTATATGCCTTTTCAGAATTATTATTAAAATTTCCTAAGAGTAAAAATTTAATATAATCGAAATTTTCGAATTTAATAAAGTCCTCTCGTACTTATGAGTGCTCTAATTTTGACTTATAGAGTACACGACTACATCAAGCATGGATTTGATGTTAAATACTTGCGTGATCCGGATGGCGGCGTCAATTTGTTACGGAAAAAAGCTCAACTTGGCGTACTTGAGAATCAAGAGCCTGAAGTAAAGGATTCATTCCCAAAAGAAGGATTCCAACCAGATATAAAGGCACTACCAAAAATATCATTTGGAACTGTGTGGAGATTTATGATCGAAGGTGTAGAATGTAAAAAGCAGCTCTCCACTGCTAAGCCACTTGTTAAAGGATTCAACTTTTTTAAATCTGGTCATGTCCTGTACATAGGCCACCTACAACAAAATGGCAAGCACTACATCAAAAGCCAAGTCCTCCCATCTATGAAAAAGGACAAAGTTTATACATGCTACTTAGTTATTAGTTCACTTGGAAAGATGCTAAGAGCCCACTGCAAATGCCCTGCTGGCATAGATGGGAGATGTAACCATGTTGCATCAACACTTTTTGCTTTAGAAAACTATTGTAAAGTAAGGGAAAAACTGGATGAGTCTGATGAGTCATGCACCTCCAAACCATGCAAGTGGAATGTGCCACGAAAGAGAAAAGGTGCAATACAGCCCATAAATGAGATGACTTTTGTGAAGCACGACTACACGAAAGAGAAGAAGATACGTAAGCTTCATCACTCTCCAGTAAATGCAAACCAAAATGCTTGTCGCGATGAAAACAAGTCAAGGTTTTTTGAAATGATGAAGGAGTACCAGAGGGTATCAGGAAACACTGTAGCTTGGACACATATACTGCCTCAGGAAGTAAAGAAACTTCAGGATGTAAAGGATTCTCTGCTTTCACCAGTCAAATGTCATCCCGTGTCAGCAAAAGAGCTAAAAGAAAAGTTTGAAAAAGCAAAGAGAAATCTTATGGTTGATGATTTACAAAGGCAAGATATTGAGGAACAAACTAGAGGTCAATCAAACACTGAATTATGGCATCGCCACAGACAACCAAGGATTACTGCCACAAAATGTTACCGTGTAGCTGTACAGAGAGAAAGTACGTCCCCTACTAAGATAATTAAAGATATACTTGGTTACAACAAGGCCTATCAAAGTAAGTCAATGGAGGAAGGACTGAAAATGGAAGACCAGATTATCAATGATTACAAGCTTCTCAAGCAAAGTCAAGGAGATGAAGGCATAACAGTCTCAAAATGTGGGTTTTTTGTTTCAAAAGAACATGGTTACCTTGGTGCTAGCCCCGATGGCCTTGTACATGATCCATCAGCCTCTGATTCAGAGGGACTTATAGAAGTTAAGTATGTCCAGACATCAAAGGATGAAACACTAGAAAAGGCATTGTTACGCAAGAGCATTTGCAAAAAGAACAGTAATGCATTGAGATTAAATGACAAACACAAATACTTCTACCAAGTCCATCAGCAAATGTTTGTTACTGGAAGAAAGTGGACAGATTTTGTTGTAAAGGGTTCAGGCTGTGATTCACTGTTTTGTGAAAGAGTACATTTTTCAATAGACCGCTGGAAGTCTATTTTGCCCAAGCTAGAATCCTTTTTTAATGACTGGATTGTTCCAGAACTTGTGTATCCTAGAGTCAAGTATGGAATTCCTAAATTGAATGCTCGTTCAGTTTAAAACAGTCAAAATCAATGTGTTCATTTCAGTAAAAGTGTGTAATTTAAGAAAACTATACAATGAAATAGGCAAATCAAAATTTAATGGGAATTAGTGGTTTGCCCAAATTATGTTGCACACTTTTTAGTACTATCAGAGTGTAAACAATATATTTGTGAAGGTAGAATGGTTTTCAAAAGCCTGTGAAACACGTACTAAGTTTTGTACATGTTTAGTGCTTTTCTGCTTAAATGCTTTTGTTTCTATTGTTTAATACTGGCACTATTAGAAAGTAAATAGTATTAATTGTTTCACAGGTTTTTTAAAAACCACCCTATAGGTATTTGCTATAGCTAAGATTAGATAAACTTTGTCTTGAAAGAAACAGCGATCTGTTTTGTCTATACACATTAACTCAGTATTTTTATACATTGTACACAGTTATGTTCATATTTGACTGAGTAAAATATTTACTAACTACATGTGTAGTGTGCTTGGATTATTGTAATGACTTATAACCAGTCTGGTTACAGTCCAGTGGTATGATGGCAATATCATAATACATTATCAAACACTAGTTTATCAATGCTATTTTAATGCAAGGCAATAAAACATAAATCCATACCATTGTTAAGTATTAAAATGTTGCTTTATATTCACATAAATTTTAATTAATCAAAGGAGGGTAAAAATTAGAAAGTCCAGCCACTACAAATAACATATCAGATGCTATGGGGGCAAGAGTAATTGGAATTCGGTGGTCAAAGATGTGCCAATTCTTTATTCTCTCCATCAATCGCTCAACATGTACTCTCAAACTGGCAACAATCTTGTTGTGGTTGGTTTCTTCTTTTGAGAATTGTGTATCTTTAACCAAAAATGCTGGTCTAATCAGTTCTGCTCCCACAGAAGCAAGCTCATCAGTGCAGTTGAACCCTTTGTCTGCCATAACTTGATCATAAGGTTGTAACTTGTCCAACAGTCCACTTTGAGCTGTTATTTCCTTGTCAGAAGTTGAACCAGGAAATAGCTCACTGACAAAACATAAAGCACCACTGGGTGTTATACCAAGCAAGGCTTTCATCGTCGTTCTAGACTTGTATGACGAGTAGCAAGCAGATTGAGAATTAAGTGCTGAAGGTTTCTCCATCTCAAACTCTGTACAGTCCACAATAATGACACAGTCTGGATAGAAGGATTTGAAAATGTCAGGCATGTAGAGTTTGAGAACTTCCCTGGGTGGAATAGTAATAAGTGGCTCAAACTGTCCCCTCAGAAATCTCGTCCAGGCCCTTGAAACTTTGGATACAAGGGGTCTTGAGACACTAAACCGATGAGCAAGGTCCTTTTCCAGCAATCCAAGCCTTAATCTCACTAGTGTCAAAGTAAACTCTTGGAACTTGGTTAAACATCGAGGTCTGCCACACTGAATTCCTGGGTGCGTTCGTTCATGTTCATATTCAATATGCTCTGCTGCATCTTTAACCATGTCGAAACATATCAGCAGTGCATTATAGTCTGGTAAACCAGTATAAAAGGCAATGTCTTCAGCATTGTCTTTATATTTCTCAATATCGAAACGAAAGTTTTCAAGAGAGTGTCTTAGTCTTTTTGTTTCTTGCTCGAGTTTTAAGTTTGCCTCGAGTAGGTTTGCATTTTCTTCACTCAACTTGGCATTTTTCTCCAGCAGCTGATTCTTTTCATTTGTCAATTCACTGATGTCCTTTTTAAGCTTTTGCAACTCCTTTAACATTGTTTCGATTTCCAATCCTGTGAGAGATGTTTGTGTCTCACGATTGTTCTCATGTTCGACTGTCACTGATGCTTGTGCCATGTCTTTCTTTTCCTCCCTCTTCTTCTTTTTTGCTTCCTGAATTGCCAGATTTTCTTCGAAGCTGATGACTCTTTTTAGCTGTCGTCTAGTGCTTTCTGCCTTTTTCCAAGGAAATATAGTCGGCAGATGAGCTCGACTGAGTTTCTCGCCACCTTCGAAATGGTCTGAGCAAATTCGAGTATTTGTGGAGTCCAATTTTAGCGAATCATTCTTCAAAATGACTTTGTATTGCTTTCTGGTAAACTCATCTTTCGGTAATCTGTAGAAATGCAGATGTGAAGCGTTCCTAAAGCTGTTTGTACAGCCAGGAACGCAACAATTATAGTGAGGCATTTCAGAATTACTTTGTAAATATGACTCGTCTGTCCCTTCAATCAATCCATAGATGCTTTGCGGTCCCAACTCGAACCCAATCCCTGACTCGTTTAGAACATGGTGAATT